AATAAGTTGTCAGTCATACAAAAGAATGAAACATATTTAACTAAATAAAAAACGTGAATGCTGTTGAAAACAGAACTGCCTGACTTTCACGCTACACTAACTTCAATGCTATTTGAAATGGTAATAGGCTAATTGTAAACTGGAATGTTTTTGCTGTCAAGAATAATAAAAACAGTTTCATACCTATCCAAATATAAAATGTATTTTTAATATTAGTTTAGCACATTTCATAAGTTTTATCTACCTGTTTAATCTATGCCTTACTTTCATTCTTCACTTGGTTTGTTTTATCGATACCAATAGCCTTTAGAGAAGATAGATAAGATTTGTAGGTTCGAGTGATGATGACAATTATTTGTTATTTCCTGAGCTTTTATGGTTTTCCCATGGACGTTTCATTACTAGCCTAGATGACTTTGTCAGCATTTACTTCATAGCCCAGAATGTTAATATTTGTGGTAACCTCGTTATTAAAACTCTCCTCCCAGTTTATTCAAAATATTGTGAAATTATTGTTCTTGTTTACTATGGTTTCAAGAGTTAGTTAGTTAGTTAATGATCACAAATTAGAAGGGTGACAGATGCAGTAGATGTATACTGGTGAATTATAATTGAACGAATTTTTAGAAAAATGCTCAGTAGTTTGAGACATAAAATAGGTGAATACAAGACTGCATTTTGGTAACGCTAAGTTTTTTCAAACGCTTTAGATTTACAAGTTGTTCCCTCATTGTTAAATTGTGTTATTGACTGTCCTCAATATATTGTAGAATTTATGAAAAGCGGTTGATAGTCTACTCACTACCTTGATGAGAAGTCCCTATTACTTACCTACAGCAAACAGTTATCTGCGACTGCTATCGAGAAGGTTAATTTGTGTTGAAACTCAGTGAATCGATCTACTGTAATTATATTTAGATAATTTGGTATTTACTTCATGAGGCAATCGTGGCACGATTCATACTATTAGTCAATAGTTGGAATTGTGCTGCAACTTCTATTTTGATTTACTCCATGACAATATATCATCTTGAACAGTCACGTATGATTCTATGGAATACCTTGGGCAGCGCAACCTGTGAACATTTGTTCAGATAGACCCAGCGAAAATGTAGTGAAAGCCAATGAGGACCAAATGTATGTCATGAAATAGTAAACCATGAGTTGTCGAATCCTGTTTAATTAAATATCTATTAATGATGTATAGTGGCTAGCAGTGGACATAGGACGCGCGTTTCGTCCTGTTTGGGACTCGTCAAGCAAAAATATCAATTAGATGGCTATTGGGGATTCGTATTCACCAGTGAGATACAAAATATTCCAAACTCTTCGTAGGATTCATCAATTTTTTTCATATTCCTCAGCTCATTTAATCTTCAAACTGTTGTAGGATTAAAATTAGTTTTATGAGTGGATCAGTAGTAATACTCCCATCAAAGTACCTTCTTGATACTGTTTTCAGATTGATTACCTTGAGTGCTTTAATGAACGCCTGGTAATTTTACAGTACCACTGTTACTACCTTCTTTATTCGACCCAAAGCATCCTTAATTTTGCAGGGGATAAAAGCATTGTGGATCACAGTGATAACGATAATGGTTTCATGTCCTTTGATTTTCGATGTTTCATTCTGAACGTTTCATCATTGGTCTAGACAGCTTCACAAGTACCATCGTCGTCAAACTTCTTCGATTTTTTTAAAACTATGTTCCGAAAATAAAAATATTTACGTTCAGCTGTCATTAACATCAGAAGCGACAAGATGTCGAACTTACACTTTTTACTTAACTGTTTAATGTCATAAAGTTGTCTTCAAATTTCAACATAACAGTCAGAAAAACTCCGTCATATTGCTTAAGATACGTAAGCATGCAAGGTATTGGAAACTAGCTGTTACCTTACAAAGAATAAACACTGACTTCTACTTAACACTGAACTCTTAACAACCCAAGTTGATGGACGAAAGGGCTATTGGATTAAGTATTGTAAAAGCTCAGTAGAAATAGTTTGCACCTAAACTAAGACTGGCGCAGCTATATACATATACATGTTTCAAGGCAAGAGAATCAACAGACAATACAACAAAACACTCCAGTCAACAGGTGAAAACAAGAGCTGAAAACAGCATAAAGGAATAATGACCGTAAAACAGCAATTCAGTGCTGCCAAACAAGAAATTTATGTCAGGGGACAATTTAAACTAGTAAACATTTTTTTATGATTGTTTATCCCTTGGGTTCCAAATAAAACATAGGGCTTCCAGTAGCACGCCTCTATTCAACTCTTTTCTCTCCTGTCTCTTCAACCTGGCGCCACCACTGACCACAACTTTTCATCTCTTCCTCACATGATCTCCTCCATGTCACCCTCGCCTCCCACGTCCAACTCATCGTTTCCCCCTTCGAATTCCACTCAAGGGCCTGGCCTGGTGCATGATGTCCCCAGTAGACCTTCTCCATGTATGCCTCATCAATCTCCACTTTCTTATTCAGCATATTTGGTGGGCGATAGGTTTGTTGGTTGGTTTGTTGTCAGCCAGTGTTCCTTGTCGCTTATTCCTATTATTCTGGCCATCTGATATTCATCTTCAGTATCAAGCGAGCGTAGGTGGCAGCTGTTGATGAATGTCTGCAGTTTGTTAGAAATGCTTTTCGTGACACGCCAATTTTCTGAACCATATAGGAGCACTGACTTGACTGGATTGGTGTTGAAAATCCGGATGTTGTTCACGCTTTATGTTGAGTGGAGTGCAGTAGATCTCCACACTGATTTCAGATTGGTGCAGTTAGGTCCGTCTTGCTGTCTTTTCGATCCTGGTTTTGATATCCTCGTCTGTGCCTGTGTCGGCTGTAGTTGAAACGGTGCTGGCTAGTCAGGTAAGTAGGTGAGAGACTACTTCATTTAGGTTTCTCCCGTTGATGGTGATTGGCGCTTGTTGTAGTAAATATAGTTATTTATTATGCTGAAACCTACTTATTTTCATGAATTAAGTGTTCATAATGTTAAGCTAATAGTTTACCCGAGATATCATTCATATCCCCAAGCCATTGTTGAACAGTTCTCAAGGCCCTTTTTCAACAGAGATCAACATTATTCAAAAAGGCACTGACAGCTGGAAATTACAAGACAGACATTTGGCTGAAGTTTGAGACGTCTTAACTGTATATATCCATGTTTATATCAAGTCAAATGAATAATGATTCAGTCTCATAGTAAGCGTTGTACCAATTAGTTGAAATGCATGAGTCTACAGTTGTTTACTCCATTCAATTAGTGATACCACTCAACGTCATCATACTTGAACTATTTGGCCCCCTAACAATGTATGATTACAATCAGTTTATATTTTTCCAGGATTTATCAAAGATGTAGATCATTATTATTATGTGCAAGTAGTTGAATAGATGCTGGCTGATATCCATAGTAACCTGGATAACCATCTAAAACCAAGCTTAAAAATACATGATTTGTTTACAATTTACTCTAGAGTTATCATTCTAGATTACACGTCCTTTAACATTACCACTAAGAAAGTTGAAATACTGTGTGAACATGGTGATCGAGTTTCACCGTTAAGATGAAGGTTAACTGTGAAATCATAAAAAACAAAACACAGAATTAGAAATTACGAATTCTTATTAGATTTATGTATTTCATGTATAACATACATTGACTTAGTATTACTTACACGATGACGTTTCCAGCATAAATTATTGCTCATTATCATATCAATATATTCATACTACTTTTGGCATCTGATTTTTATAGTCTTGTCACCCGATATTCTTTGTTTTTATTAGTAGTAACAGTTTCCATGTCTCTGATATAGATGTTGCGTCATCCCCGTTACATGTGTTGGACATTGATTCTACCACAGTGTCCAAGAGTTTATAGTTATATTAATTACAAATTCATGTTTTATTAACACATTACTTGTTAAATCAGTCTTTTCTAAAAGGATGACATGATTCTCGCGATAATTGGCAAAATATGTATACAACCTACTTCGTAAATTTGATAAAAAAATGTGTTTATTGAGGTACAAGGTGAAATAGATATTGGCTGATGTTGTTGATGTTGTTCAGGCTTTACAAAACAAATTGTCAATAGAATGGTAAATTAATATCCTAAATAAGACCGAAGTTTGGAAGAGGTAGAGAACAGTGCTGTTCTCCAAGTGGTAGTCAACTTTTGTCATGAGTTACGTAAGCACAGTAAACGGTTAGATTTTTGTTAGACTGAGTAATACTAAGAGCATAACGAAGAAAACAAGAGTTGACCCTGAAATAGATTGAAAAAACACAAAACGATGAATGGGATATGAAATCACAAATTCATAAAGATTAAAGTTACCAAGTCAAAGTAGAACCGATAACTGCCTTTTCTAAATACAAAGGTCAGATTTAAGTCTTTTGATTGGGACGGTTTCAGTGAACCCTAAAGTATTGGGTTTCATCCTTCTATCCACCGTTCTCAGTGCTTCTGATACATCTGCATTACTCTTTGTATCTTGCATAAGCAAGGAAATTTCATTTTTAAAAACCTGTGGACTTTTACTGCTAAATATTCACTGGATATGTTCAGAAATGTGAGCGAGAAGCCTTCTCACTTTCTCTTTTAGGTATTTGCTTTGAGGGACATGTAAACTGAAAGACACACCTGGAGGTAACAAGAGTTGTGAACTTATCTAGTTGGGCGTGGGAGGCCAGGGTGACATGGAGGAGATCATGTGAGGAAGAGATGAAAAGTTGTGGTCAGTGGTGGCGCCAGTTTGAAGAGACAGGAGAGAAGAGAGTGGAATGGAGACGTGCTACTGAGGCCGTACGTTCCACTAGGAACCCTAGGGAAAAATAATAAATGATAATTATATTAGACATAAACCTCATTTTTCTTCATCGTATTTTAATAACTGTTTGACTAGATTTTGTGTAATCAATTAAGCAACCAAACAAATCATTTGACTTTGCATTGTATTCCATTTTCGTTATCTTCATTTTCAGAATGGTGATATAAACAACTGCTATTGTAAAGGTATGGCAGGAGTACTTGCTGCCTATCGTCATTGTTTAACCGACTTGTATTCATCAGGTCCAATATTGTTTTCACCTATTATTCGAGAAGTTAACGAGTAAGCGTTTTTCTAAAAATTAACAAGTTATCAAGGATTTTTCAAAATATTCAAAATGGATCATTAGCTGTAAAATCATCATCATTTAAGTAGATTCGTGTTATTAGCAAGAAAACACAGAATCAATCAATGATGAGTAGTTTCACTTAGGTAACAATATAAATCTCTGTAAACTCTGAGTTCTTCCCTCACATGGAATACGACAGCTACTGTAAGCTTGCTAGTATCATTTGTAACTGAGGTAGTGAATGACATCAGTTAGCATTCTTTATAGAGTCCAAGATTCTTGAAAGCTGCGTATTTGCCTCGTTGATAAATAGTCAATAAAGTGTGAAAACTGGGTTTCATTATTCTAAAGGACTGTTTCCAACCAATAAATGCTGGAAACAGCAGTCCAATTTACAATAGAATAAGTTAAAGCAGTACTGCTAGAACATGCTTAGTCAATAGAGACTGGTTAGCATTCGGGAGTGCAGTGTAAGACACTGTTTACTTTCCAGTACCTAGTTAACATAAATACTATTGTTGAAAGCAGTTATCTTTACTATTTTCAATAGAGTTCTCGTAAAAAATTTTCTTTTACCCTGTTGTAGGGCAGCGAAGCAAAGTGAAGCTGCAGATAACTACTATGTTCTATTAATTTTAACCAATGGTACTGTGGACGACTGGATTGAGACTAAGAAGGCGGTAATTGAAGTAAGTTTATCTTTGAAGAAGATATTTTCAGTTAGCAGTTAATTAAACTCAATCAAGAGATACAGAAATATATCATCATTTCCTCTATTTCCACTTACTAGTGCCTGCCCTTCTAAATTGCACTAAAATTCACACCCATTCTTCACAAAAAATAAAAAAAATACTGAATGATCTGTAAAAACTGTTTTCAGACATACAAACATACAGCCGAATTTCTTTGAATAAAACACGCTATAATTAGGCTACCTATATCATTGGTGTATACAAAAAGAATATGACTAATTGTTTGAATAAGTGGGCTGAATTAGCGCTTACTTTTATAGAGGTCATTTCAGATCAGAATTGTAAGCCTTCAAACATCTAAAGATTCTCATAACATTGCTACAAAGAAAACAACAACCTGAACAAAGAATATTCTTTGTTTAAATAAATTCTTATCAGGTTCTAAAATTATAAAATTCATTTGTATGGCGTAAAATCAAGCTAAATCAGGGGCATATTCACTTTCAAAATGGAGTGAGATGTGAGGACTCTAAGGAAATCGATTTTTCTTCCAAATTTTTTCACTATTGAGATGGCACAGATACCGATGAATACTATGATGGTGAAAGAAAAGATAAGAAACAAGGAAGATGAGAACAGCCTTTAGTCTACTGGAGGTCAAGAGAAAAAAGACGTTAGAACGTAATCTTTTTGAATGCACAGTTCAGGTTTGATCAACGTTATGGTTACAGCCCCTGCTATGTCGAGCAAGCCTTAGCAAGTTATGCATGACTTGTTTGACATTTAAAGCTTTATTGGCATCTATGTGATGGTTTGTGTCTACTAGATGTGCTAGGAGGAAAATTCTCACCACTTTCACTTCTCCTTTTCTGAACCAAGACGGTAGTTGCTGTGGTACCTGGAGATCCACCTGTCCGACAGTGTACTCTATGTAACTTGTTCTATAAGAACAGTTGAATTGTCATGAGCAAGGTGAAGAGGTAAGATTAAGTGGGCTATCCTTTACTTTCCGAGTGAGCATTGGCTGACTACTGAAAGATATGGAAATCTGATATGGACGAAGTGTTCTATTGGCTGTTATAATTAGGATCTGTGGTAGGATGTCACGTGGAGAGTCTCCCTTGAATGGCAAACGCAGAAACACAGGCTTCTTCAGCGTTACCACCAGCTTCCGTTTATGAACAATTTAACTGATGTTAGCCTTGATGATTTTATGCGGATATGTATTTTCACCTAGAAGATCATCAATACAAAGTATTTCTTCTTCCACACACTCCTTGGAAAAAACTAACTTTAATCGTTAGATTCTTGTTTATCAAACTTTTGTGCTTCATCAGCACGAAGCTGGGAAAGTGTGTATACTGTGCCTTAAACGTCAGAATTACAGAAGGTTGAGTTTTTAACTGAATGATTATGCTCGCTGTGAATGATCTTCTAACTATTAAAGTTGTGGATAATACATCATCATCATCCAAGTGATATGTACTACTGACAATGTCTGTTACTCTTTGCACAGTTCTGAAACTTCAGCAATCTTTTCCAGGTTTAGTTTATTTCTCTGTTCACCCTAAAATTCGCGACTGTCCTTGACAATCTGTAGCCTAAGTCTGCATTTTTGCATAGTGACAGACTGATCTATTCCTTTAAGGTTTTATAATTGCACTGTAAAATCTATATTGACAAGTAATAAATAACAAAGCTCGATGTTGTTGTGATACATGTAATTTCCCGTTGATACAGGCCTGAACTGCTTGGTGTATGTTGGTAGATGGGCTCCTATGCGGATGTCTCGATCCTACCAAATATTCATGATGTTAAGTTCATCTTTGTGACTAGCAGCAGAATCCAGGATGCGCGTTTCGTCCTGTCTAGGGCCCGTCAGCTGGATGTGTCTGAACCCCAGTGAGTGTTGTTCCCACTGAGACTCAAACACATAATCCATCACTTCAAACGTCAAACCGTTATCCACTGGGCCACCATGACAGTGATGCGTTCTGCACACGAGTCTCAGTGGGAACAACGTCACTAACCGGGGTTCAGGTACATCCAGCTGACGGCATGAAACGCTCATACAGGATCCCACTGTGAGTTACCAAGATGAATATAACATAACTAAGAGCTAGACCTTACTTACTATTTAACCAATGAATGACACGACTCAATATATTGTCGACCATCAAGAGAGTTAATAACTTTAAATTTTATTACCAGTCAAAAAATATCAACAACTCAGCCAACTTATTAACAATTAAACAAAGTTTCAACATGAACATTAGGAAGAATGTGCTACAAACAACAGGCAAGCATCTTAAACTAACAAGGTTGAACACACGAATGGCTTCGTCCAATTCTTGGTTGAATTATATTCACATTGCTCGGAAAATCCCCATAAAGACACAAGGAAATCAAAAATAGGAGGTTCAGCAGAGGGAATATTTTCAGCGAATTCATTCACTTAGATGTACAATCATACTTATATACAAATTCTTTTTGTCATAGAAATATGATTTCACCTACTATCACCGATGGTCTTCATGATTGTGGTCTACTGGATCATACAGCAGACAATGAGGAGCGAGAAGATGGACATATGCTGACTTGACCAATGAAAAGACCCTACAAGATTTGGATTCCCCATGATGATTTGCTTAATGTCACACAAACCCGAAAATCTACAGGCAAAAACCAACAAGCTGACAGAAGAGGCAGCGAAGACGGAACTTACTTCAGGTGAACATAGAGAAGACAGAGGCGATGAAGATACCTAACCAACAACTACAGCAACAACAACATACATCAATAACCATCAACGGAAGAAATCTGAAGAAAGTTGTCTCTTTCACCTACCACCCAGCCAGCATCGTTTCAGCCACATGTGGCACAGATGAGGACGTCAAAGCCAGCATCGGAAAGATGGGAAGACAGGCCTTCATTAATCTGAAACCAGTGTAGAGATCTACTTCACTGCACTGCACTGTACTGCACTGCACTGCACTCAGCATAAAGCGTGAACAACATCCGGATTTTCAACACTAATGTCAGTCAAGTAAGTCAGTGCTTCTATGTGATGGTTGAGAGACTTGGCGCGTTACGGAAAGTATTTCCAACAAACTACAGACATACATCACATCAACAGCTGCCGCCTACGCCTACTGGATACTGAAGATCAGATGACCAGAATGGTAAGAATAAGCAGCAAGGAACACTAGCTGGCAACGAACCAACCAACAACCCATCACCCAACAAATATGCAGAAGAAAGCGCAGATGGAATGCATTGAGTATACACTGGCACCACGACTGCCCACAAGCTTTCATTTCTTCCTTAAAAGATGTCCTCCATGTCGCCCTTGCCTTGGACGCCCAACTCGTCGTTCCCTCTTTGGAATCCACTCGAGAGCCCGGAGCGTGATGTCTCCAAGTGGTCTTCACAGTGCCAAACCTCTCTCTCTATCGAGGCTTAAGAGTGACTAGTAATTAGTGAACTAGTTACCTAGGCGAGGTTCTGGTTTACTGTGGTAGAATTTAATTCCATTTCTACTGTTTATTAGATCTATCATAGAGTGGAACAACATTATTTACTGGATTATACTTAGGACATAATTTATTGTTCATAGTCATATCAAGATAGCTACTCACGTTTGAGAGATCCTTCACATAGTACTAATTTCCTCGCCCACTTTATGACATGGGTAATTAGATTTTGAATATATCTGGAACAGGTATCAAGTCATTCCTGTCCCATGTATTACGTGTTGGTTGATTCGATAAACAAAGATTCAGTTATCAATCTCTCCATCCACCTTGCTATACTAGTTTTAAGGATTTTCACCCTGTCCCATCCTATTGTGTGGTTGGGTGTAATCGCAGGCATAACTGTGGCTGAGCTTCTTTTCTAAATTCCTTACTTTACTAAAATCTACTAGTTTAGACCTAGCTAGCTTTTTGTGCTCGGATAGCCTAATTGACACCCGTAGACTACTTTGACCTATGTATTGGATCTCACAATCGTTGCAAGGAATATGGCAAACTAGGTTATCCTTCTTAGTCCGATCAGTAGGATGTTTTAGTCCGCAGAGCTTATTTCTATGTGAGTTTGTAGGATCAAATGTCACTGTAATCCCAGCTAGCCTTATTGATAATTATATGTAGTGTTTCTGAGGCGCTTTCTTTGTATGGTAATACCACCACTTTATTAGTATTATTATTACAACTGTTAACACCTGCGTTACCAATATGCTTCTTACGATTCCTAACGAACTTATCAATTATCACAAAGGGGGAAAGAGGAAATTAGGAGTGTGTAAATGATATCTCAAAGTTGTGTAGTTATCCTGATATAACTATGGACAGAAAATTATGTCCGCAACGTGATCCAGAAAGCAATACGTTTACACTGTGTTGATAAATGTAATAAATCAATAAAAATGGAATTATATTCTACCATAGTGCACAAGAAGAAGAAGAAGGAGCTGAAGAATGATAGTGAATACATTGTTTGAGTTAAATATTTGTGGAACGTAAATCAAGGTTTTGAGCAAGCATGTGTATATAGAACAGATTTCTGCTGAATATAGACCGTTGATACTGTATGGATGTTAAGTTGATGAGAGACTGCCTGGTTTCATAACTATTTCAGGGTAGTTTTAACTGAAAGAAATTTAACCATAAGAAGTTGTTGATATTTTTTGAAACTGTTTTGAATTATTCTGATATTATCAAAGTAGATTTAAAGTATATGCAAATTCTGTTGATTAATTTTACACCCCCAAAATAAGACTAGTGATGTTCGTTTCATCTAGACTAGTTTTATATCCGAATCCCTTTATGAGATCAGTGTTGAAACAAAATTTCTGAATAGTTTATTGTCTTAATTATTTTTGTCCTGAAGAATACTTAAGCATCATACTTCTAGAACTGTAGTAACTCCAGTAGTTTCTACAACTTCAGTTGTTTACCAGCTACTCAACTTAAAACTTTTCTGAGAACGGTAATTCATTACCAAACCTTTTAACTATGATGAACTATAATAGGTCTACTGAAACCAAAAAGAAAGTTGGCCATGAAGCCAATCACTGTCTGAGAGTGTTGAATCGTGATCAAACTATACCACAAACTGATAGAAGTTGAAAGTGTGAACTACTGTATTCTAACTCAAAAGAATAACGCTGAGGTAACGGTTCTAAACTCAATTTTTTGCTAGTTCATGCGTGCGGATTGTTGTGGATACTAAAGTCGACATAAAATAGCAATCTCCAAATTTCTGGCTTCCAATGGTTTTCCGCATAATTTCGCCTAGTGATCAATATTTTAAAATTAATAATCTAATGACATCTGATATGATATATCTCTAAGTACAACAATTTATTTTATTTCATCCTGATCGATGCTACCTAACGCATAATTGTAGATGAAGCGGGTTTAAAGGTCACCCTGGCAACTGCCAAAACGACCAATCAGGTTGCGATATATGCCTACGATGGTAGGATTTTTATAGAATACAGAAGCCTAATAAGTTACCTAAGCAGTTGCTGGGGTGGCCTTTTAAGTCACTCGAAAGATGAGGAATGATTGTGAAGAAATACAAAACCGTAGTTCCCAACTCATCATTATGACTGACTTTAAAGGCTGTCATAGCAACTGCTGTGATAACCAATTACTATCCCTGTCCCCTATGGAAAATGGGCGACTTTAAGAGCAACTTTAAAGGCCACCCTAGGAACCGTTCAGACAACCAATTACTTTCCTCTATTTAGTGAAGAACTATCTCCCCCAGGCGGACTATCTAAACCTGATTGGTTATTTCAGCAGTTGCTAGGGTGGCCTTTAAAATCACTCTACGTAGCTATCTCCTATCCATACTTGAAAGAATAATTGCACCAAAGTTTATGATACCAAATTTTGAGTTTTAAAATTTAGTGACTTAGTGTTGATGCTAAGTATCTGTAGAGACGATATATGCTAAGCTATTTCTAATGAATAAACGACACAGATACCACTTTCACAAAAAAATTCGACTATGTAAAAATGAAGCGTCTAGTCTGTTTAACTTCAGAAGAATACAAAGTGGATGAAATTCTGTAAAACTCCAGAGGGATTGGCATAGACTAAAGTACAATGAAGAGAAGTGAACAGGTACTTTATCATAGCAAAACGTTTAAATCCAAATTATTATATATGAATCTTCTTCAAAGGAAAACATTTTATGCTGCTGTGTCAAGGATTTCTGAAATTCAGTCGATAACATACTGGCCAACTTAGTTCCTTTCCTAATTCAAACTCCCTAACTCACACTGATTTCACAACATGCAATGGATACTGCAAGTGCGCAACTAATTTTATAATTGCTTCTTTATAACATTGTCTACTTTCTGCGGTAAGAGATCGATTAACTTTAAAAGTCATTCTAAGTAATACAACCATGTTGGGCTGAATAAGTAGTCAGAACGGTCGATTTTGCTAGGTTTATTTCAGCAGAAATGAGTACGATGAGTCTGTTAACAAGTTTTTTTGCCCAACAGACTTTCATTGAGGGTTTTTTGCAGTCTACCAATCCTTCAGGGGAAGGTGAAGATACCCATAACAGACGACAAGGAAGTTTAAATATACGACATACTTGAAGGTAATCCGTAGAAAGCCATGAACTTGTTAGTAAGCACAAAACCTTCTTAGTTTCACAACTTCCTACCTATTGCCTATGATCAACAAACATAGATCAAAATGTGTCTTTGAGCATATTACGAAGCGATCGATCGAACTTGGTTAGCTCTTATTAATAGACGACATGAATATGATTATTCATCAGTGACTGATAAATATAGAGTTTAGATAGGTCATAACAAGCAAAAAATGCTCTACAATTAGACCAAATGTACGAACTGCCTTTATTACCGGGGTATATACAAAATGCACAGGCAAGTTTATTACCAAGTTTCTGTCTACGGTTAATTACCGCAGATTTTCCATAACATGTCGTTGTCGTCACTGTATACTATTAGAAAAGAAATAATAACATACTAGCCTTAAACGCTAATTGGCTGGTATATTTATATACTTGCTTGGTAATACTAAGAAGAAACTAAATCGTTGGGGTGGTAAAATAAAGCCGCATGACGTGGACTGAAGTAACTGGTACAGCTCATCAATCAGAAGAAAGATATCAAGATGAGCCATTTTTAAGTAGAGAAAACATTCTAATTTCTCCTCAGATATCATTGCACTTAACTCATATTTCAATAAACCATCCTTTTGATATGTATAGGTGGTTGGTAAGTAAATAACTTAAGAGAATCACAGTCATATGGACTTACCAATGTAATAACCATGACGTTTCTGAGATTATTTACTAACATTATAAAGTATGACAGTTTTCCCACTATGTGTATTGAATAATACTTTTAGAGACAGTCACCTTTTTGTACTTAATAGGCATCATTTCTCCCCGTATCTATAATTGTACTTGGTGTTGGAGGAGGCAAATTTCCAGGTAAATCTAAAATATTAAAATTGCAAAATTATTGCTTATATTAATGTTAGCATCATACTTTACACTTTATTTTTTTAACCACACTTGTTTTCTCTAAAATCCTTAACTTTTCTTCTAGAAATAGCAGAGTTGTGTTAATCGCGCATACTACGAACTGCCTTGTTGATTGTCGAGCTTGAAAGGTAGAGATGATAGTAACTGTTGTTAAATATCTGGTAATCATAATGACCAGCAAAGGTGAATGAAACACATGAATAACAATCGAATTTTGAAAAAGATTGTCTAAGCTTCATTGCACTGTTAAAAAAGATCTTAGGGCAATATTATACTGCATTTGAAATACCCGTCAGCATCAAGTCTTACTATTCAACTTTACAAACAAGTAAACTCATGCAGAAAGTGTCTGTGAGCTACTGATACTTTGAAGGATAGTCAGGATTCAACTTAACACCTAAATTTCTACCATGTTTAAGACTATGGCAATGAGGTAAAGTATACTTTGGTATCAGAGTAGTTTATTTGACAGTGCAAACAGTGATGCAATATTATATGCTAGATAATACAGTGAGCATAAGTTTTTTGACGACAGCCATACTGCTTTGTCGATCAGGTTTGCATTGATTTTATTCATTTGAACAATACCTGTTTGGTTCCGATTAAAAATGCTCCTCTTTATAAACTAGCTATCCGTTCGACATTAATGCCTTCATTACAGTTATTATTAACACCGTTCAGGTACAAAAATTATTTCTTTTAAAAATATTTTACGGGGAGCCCATTTGTTGGAATATTACCTGCTGAAAATTCCATAATGTGTCATATATGTTGCTTGGGATAAAACGATTATTACTGTTATCATTATTATTACTATTATTGTTGTTAATAATAATCACTGTGTGAGCAATCCTGAGGTCAGGCGAAGGATACTAGGCATACTTGCAAATCTACTGATGAGGTTATGAATCTAGGTCTACTGAAATGAGTTGGATATGTACTGCTAGTGACCAGCCACCACCTACCCCAACATGCTTTGCTTGAGGAATTTGGATTGGGATGTATGAGGGTTCAGGGTTACCAAACAAAGACGAGGCACCGGCCAATGAAGTCCTTGACTGTTAGTCTGGGTCGTGTGGGGAGATGTAGACTGCGTGGTTGTCGTCCTCGAGACGACAGGAATTAGTGGTAGAGGACTGTTAGCGATATGTCTGAAAATCAGTCACACTGGTGCGGATGCATTTACTCCTTGACGTCTTCTAAAGCTTCAGGAATCATACAAGCATTTGTCTTCAGATTGTTTATTCTCTCACACAGGCTTATCTTCTTTACTATCACTCCTTTTCTAACCACCTGTTTTTTGTTTACTTCTTTGAAGTGTGGCAACTTGAACCGATGCACTCCTATACGAGGTTCTACGTTGATTTTGTCGGTTAGTTGAATTTCGAAAATTCTAGCTACCTCATAACAAGATCTCGTTTCAATGTCTCTGTAATATTCCGAACTCTTTTCACGCAAGCACCTTTACGCTCATGTAGTTAGTAATGAGCCACACCTGTTGTATTAGGGTTATGATGTAAACGGTCAATCCAAATCTCGGTATGCGGGACAGGGTTCAAACTCGCGAACCCGCCATTTGAAACATATGTCGAGGCTTCAGTACCCACGTAGTTTAAGCAAATTCATCGGACAGTTGTAGTTCATAGTCCAGTGCATTTGTTTGTATGATTTTGTCAGCTGGATGGACCTAGGTTTCGCGCTTTTTGGAACTCATCAACATGATGTATCTCCAACCTGAACAGAACTGAGATTCAAACCGATACCACCCAATGCTGCAGTCAGAGATGTTACCACTGTTCGATTCGAATCATGATTAACTTCTAATAGATCTGGATTAGGTACAATGATTAGTCACTAGAGGATAACCCTCTTCATATCGTTTAAGCTTCACTGCTGATCGAATTATCTTTCAATAAGGCCACCAGGCTGAAACACTCACGATAATGATACACTGCGATAGATTCTAGTCGAATGAAGGCAACTGGCAGAATTCAAACGCTGAATGACGTAGGTTTAAACCTCAGGACGGATATCAGTATCCAGATGGAAGATACACCTTGCTAATGACCGTCAAAAATCACGAAACCTATGTCATGCAGAACTTCCTACATATGGCTTCTATCCAGTTTTGTTTAACTTTATTTACTGACAAAGTCTTCCTAAAGTTAACCATCTTTCTTAACCTCAATAAACATAACAGCATAAGGTGGATATACAAATAGAAAAGAAATAGTCTCCACTGCAGGTTATTTTTACCGATATTTTTAATACATAAGGATATTTGTTAATAAGGTGCCGAAAAATGCTCTTTATCTAAGTTCAACTTCTTGCTTATTTTTATATTAATTTCATAAGAAATGGAAATACTGGATCAAGACTTTGGTCTCTTAAAAGTTGGTCAAGAACAGGCGTGTAGAGATAATGTACAAGTAAGCTCTAAATTCAAGTATATTTATTTACGAATATACAATGAATAATTTATTGTTTGTTTTGCTTACAACATATTGGCGTACTTTTAGCTACAACATATAAATTGCTAATAGAGTAAGATTTTATGTGTAGAGGATCCTTTGGAAAAACTGAGTATGTGTATACTTTTACCTGCATCATTTTCTAGCTTCGTTCTGATAATAACTTATCCTGTCTAATATAGGTTGCGAAGAATGGTTGAGAGTCAGGACCTTCATAAGAGATATTTGTCAATCTTCACAATTACTTACACTTTAATAGTTCTAGGTCTCTTCGACTAGTGATCCTAGACACATTAAATCATAATGGGTTGTCAATTAGCAAGTTATTTCGTTAGGTTATAGTTCCAAATATCTGAAAGCTAATTCATAACCCTTCGTGTTAATCAGATGAACGACAATGACAATAAATATATCCAAGTGACAGCTGATACTGGCATTATTTTTGAGTGAATGAGTGAGTAAGTGAATTAAAAGGAAACTATTAACTGGTTTTTAAATATTCAGTTACTGACTTTCATAAGAGAAATGGTCAGTCCGTATTAACGTACATGTTCCACATATAAACAAATCACAATGATAACAAAGAATGATAAACTTCTATGCGACGTTCTACAAAATAAAACGATGGTATGCACAAAATGAACAGGGAGTGGTCATTGTAAATCATCAGTCTTTAGGATGATACATTGATATCTGAAGTAATAAATGATTTGAGTTAGGGTCTCAGGGCAAACCCAACTTACTCACTGGAGCAACAAAAAAGAAAAATTCCAAAATTTTGATTTCACTTCGGACCAATTCTAAACTAAAATATAAAGTATGATTGTAATATTAGCTAAGAAAATAGAACTTGATTCTACAAAAAAAAAACACTTCAATCCTTCAAGAAGCAAAATGCCCAAATCTTGATTATTCCAGACAACTTTATACTTTATAATAGTATGAAATCTTTTAAAAAGCCACAGACTACAAATGATGCAGATAATTTTGATTGCTTTCCAGTTTTTTCCCCCTTTTATAATATCTTTAGCTCCAGGCAAAGTTAAAATGCGCACTTCAATACATTTTATTAGTTCTTACTAACATCAGGTTTCACTCGAAAGTGATTCCAACTGGTTTCTTCAGTCCAAATAAATAATAAAAATTTATTTTTACAATAAGAAAGTCACTTTTAAGTTGTTTTTTTTCTGTCTCTTTACTTCTATTTGTGTTTGCTTATTAGTTTGTACAGATGCGTCGATTTTTACGATTAGCAGCAGATGGATCAGATAGTATTCGTTGGAGTAAAGTGGCTCTTGCTAAAGAAGTTTTAGCTGAACTACCCTCACAGGTAAACTAAGGGTGTATACTTGTATGCTTTAAAATATTTTTGTGTAATTATGTATTGTGTTCATGTGTTACAATGAAATGTTTTCGGTTTAGACTATACTGTTTCTTTGTTTGATTATATGGCTAAGCTTATTTTTAAAAGTTGGCAAGTTAATTGAATGCTTGAAACCCTTAGTCTCCTTGATAAATCTTCATATTAAAACAGCTTTGACTCAGGCTTTTCTAATGATGAGACTACTTACTGAGATTTTTGTACTCATTATTATATACTGTAACTGTAGCGGTAGTGACGGAGAAATTGCAGTAACTGCTGAATACACGATAAACTGTGGTTCAGTTACAAGAAAAACACGATAAAGTTATAGTCCTTACCTGGTATTCACGTCTAATAACACTGAAATACAAACAGTAAATCTTTTTAGACTTCTTCGTGAACATATTATTAAACAATGACTAACGAGATAAAAATCTTTTCAAAAGTCACAACTATTTCCTATACTTCTTCAAAAAATTATATGTTGATTAACATTGCTTTATATTGTGTAACTGGAGTTAAAGTGATGGATGGAAAATAAACCGTAAGTAAGACCATTATGACTGAATACTGCAAGTTTGATAAAAGTACTTCCGGATGACTTATTCTCCGAAAAGTGAAGCATGATGAAGCAATCATTACATTGCCAGGCATATCAGAACTGCTATTCAAATATTCAAATATATCTTACAGTTTATCTCCGTAATTCGGGTACCAGTTTCCGTAGGCACAGTTGGTTGGAGCAGTACCCACTTCGTTAGAAGTAGTTCCAAGAGTTAGGTGCTACTCGTTGTTGGAAGATAAGAGACTTTATCAAGAGGCAAGCTTATACTACAGAATAATTCTCTTTTCTCCATGGATGTCCGCATCAGTATATGTCATTACAGTGTCAGACAAGGATTACCATTTGACTGTCCAATGGGATGCAAAATAACCGAACAAAGTGGAAAATGAATGTCACAGTGGATGACTACCGATGGATGTTATCTGATCTAAAAGTGTCAACTTGTGACTGATAGTATACCTGCGACACAATACTTGACAACATTATCAACAGCAACTGAAAAAAGCACCCAAAGAAAATTCTCAAGAAAAGCTGGTCAAAATCTCAAAAGCATCTGTAACGAAAGAAATAAACGACTACACAACCAACTAATCAAAACGACTGCCGACAAAAACTGGAGAACTTTTTCAGAAAGAACTTAATTGCAAAACACGAGACACTGACTACCGCTCAAAGCAACAGGATTAAATGAAGGAAGTCAATGAGAATTGCGGCAACCAGTCGTATCACTGACAGGCCAAAAGAAAGACTACATTTAGTCGACAACTCAACAACCGAAAGAAATAAAAAGTCTGGAAAACGTATAAAACATTGTGATACTCCAGGCCAACAAAGAGTGTTTCACTCTAATCATAAAAAAGAGTACTAGGGATTTACTCAAAGAGGAAAATGGATATCATTCATTTGAACACAAACCAATTCAAAATTTCGACAACCAGATCATCAAAGCTTTACACTAACTCATTAATTCAGGAAGAATTAAAAAATTAGGCCAGTGGTAAATGAAATCAAATTGACCTGTTCTTCATCGGTTTTCGGAAGTTCAAAACCACATAGATCAAATATTCCTGTACGACTTATAGTTTCATTCCTAGGGACTCCAGCTTATAATCTATGCAAGGAGCTTGTGAGGAAACTGAACTATCTTCTAGAGACTAGCAAACATCCCATCCAATCATAGATAAGTCTTTTGGAAAAGATTAGAGGCATTCATAAAGACTATGACGAATTGTTGGTGTCCCTCAAACTTGTGATATAATATGCACCAGCTGAATTATGACTGGTTGTGAATACTATGTTTTACCCCCATCACTGACGACGTAAACTTATTGAAATGCAGAAAACTTCAGCGATATAATTTAGAAGTTAAACAATAATGAGATGTTGTTCGGAAGGTAACTGATCAAGCAATTTCAAAAACATTATCATCTAATTTATGAAAGCTATTTCAGTCATTCTCCTGTTATGTTATGAACCTAGACTATCCTGAAAAATTTTAGTTATCATATATTATTCAATGAAATAATCGAATTCTATCCTAACAATCATCAAATAAGATTCAATTATATTACACAGAATTCACCTGGGCCTTGAAAACCTTTCCACTGAGTTTCTAATCTGCACTAGAAGGCATTTTTTGCCCCAAAACAAGCGTCATTTATAAAAGGATGTTGAATTTCTTAAGAGTTTACTTTCACTAAAATACCAGTCTCAACTCTCCCACTGATAAAATTCTTAAAATTGAACACACTCACTCAAAAGCCATTTCGTGTATAAATTTCTGACAGCCATAATTTTAAAAAATAAGTAGAAGAGAAGAATGTAAACATTCCAGGTTTCCGAACTGGAAAATTAACAAGAATATACGACAGCAATTAAGAAAATCAAAGCTTGACGACTCAATCACTCTTATTTATCCTATAAAACGCATCGGTCAGTATGAAAAGGGTCTCCTCAATATGATAGACGTAAAGATAATATGCCTAATTTTCCAAAATTCCTTTCCCATTGTACAGAACCATTTTTTCAAGGAACCAAAATACATAAAACTAAAAGAAGGAGACAATTACTGGAGAATTTCGCCATAATGAATAGAATTTCAGTCGCTGGTCCAATAGAAAATTTATTCGTTTTACAATTCATCCTAATGTGACTAAATCTACGGTCTTGTGAAATAATTGTATTAAACAATATAAGTTGAGGGAGAATAACATGAAAACTTGAAATAAAAATATATCAGGCGTTACTTTACTACTGTATAAATTATCAGTAGTCAAACAGAAACACAAAATATGATATTTAACCATGACGACAGGCTTATTTCAAATTTGTCGCAATTATTTTGATTAGTAAAACTGATATGCTTAGTTAGTACTTAGTCATTTAAATTTTAGAAGGTTGATGTCATGTTCATAGATGCTTTTCACCTTCCGAAAGACAGTTATTACCACAAGCAGATATAAAGATTATTTTCAGAGAGGATTAAAGATTGAATGTACGAGGCTGTGGAAACAAATCAACCGATGTAAAACAAAAGGGAAAGAATCACCACTTTATATGAGAATTTCATGGCCAATTTTTTTCAACACTTATGTTCCACGGCAATATTTGACTGAATGACAAAACCATTAAGTTTCATGTTTCGTCATATGATACGTCAATTATCAACACAATTGTTATGTCACCTTGATATGATTATCAACACTACCTTATGTTCGCAATGTCGCCAGTAAATATTATTGTTTCACTGTGTAATGCATCTAAAGCAAAGAAATGTAATAGAATGTCGCAGTAAAATCAACTGTATTGTAACAAACTAATATACGTGGGCTGATAAGTAAATGGTAACTAATTTTAGTACATAATCCACGAAATAGGCAAATTTAAAGAAACAATTACACTGACAGCCTCAAGCAAGATGATATCGGGCTGTTGAATGGCGGAAATAAAATTCCATAGTTCAATTTGAAGGTTTGTGGAGATTTGATTGATTCCTGTTTAGCATTCATCAAGAGTTGACATCAGTTGAAGAACCATCGTGGACTTGTTTCGAGACGAGATTCTTGAAGTTCTAATGAGAAGTTATGACTGATCGGGCAAGCCATGTTGCACATAAGAACAGGTACTCAATGATGGCATCGGTTAGAGGTCGCTCTGTGTATTAAAGCGATAGAAGCAGAGAAACGTGAACTATTAAATTCTGACCCAGTGCTTCAATGGTAATGTGTTCACCATGAGACCTGAAGATACTGGGCTCGGTCCCCGGTCGGGGTCATGTCTGCCCAAAGCTGAGGAGTCCCATACTGAGACAAGACACCTTCCAGTGCTCAATAAGCTCAGGGATACTGATTTGGCACACTGGTGGGATATTTGTTTCACTAAGGTTGTCATGTTCTGATGATGAGTTCCAAGAGTTGTTTTTCCTAGATGCATAAATTAACATTCGAAATGATGTCCAGTCGCTTTATCTAATAGGTACTTTAAGAAACTAACCAAGTGAATTCTAAAACAACTTGAGACTAGAAAATATGATACTGGAAGTTACCCAGTGAAAAATAAATAAACTCAAACCTCCTATCAACCTTAATACTGTGTGTAAGTAAAATGCGATAAATTCACTTTAGTTGACAGGCTAATATTTTCTGACCGAGGGATTGTTATATACTCCTAATTTGCCTAGCTTTTGCCAGATATTTGCCTATAATCTTAAATAACTTTGCTATTGCTGTTTTCAGGCCCTGTTGGCGCCGTTGCTAGCTTATGTTTTCCCGACTACTTCTGAAGATTGAACTCAACTTCCAGCGAGACTGTCAAATTTGCTATGGCCGGTAATGCGATCCAGCAGTCTATGAGCGATACAAACCTAACACACAAAAGAATCTAGTGTAATCGTCAATCAGGAAGTCAAACGCAACAGCAAAGAATGCCACCGGCACCCGAAGACAAGAAGAGGAGACAAAGTTTTGGCAGAGAGCTTTTACTTTATCAGCAGCCAAAACACTTGACAGCAATGCTGAATACATTCTAAATGACTTTGACAAGCACTAATTTCACTGATGAGTTTAGGGTTTGGTCTTCAGAAGCAGCGGGAAAAACAAAAGCAAGGGTACCAACAGGGCAAGAAATGAGCAATAATAAAGTTATTTAAGGTTATAGGCAAATATTAGACAAAAGTTAGAAAAAATTAGGGGTACATAATACTAGTCTTCAGAATCCCAACCCATTTATGAAGCCAAAAAACGTTACTCGTTCCTGTTTACATAATAAAAAGAGTCAAGGCCTTGTTTATATAAGGCACATTTTAAATCAGTCAACCATTTTTAGAAACGTTATCCGTTTGAACTAGTTATGAAACTCATTAAATTATTGACCAGGAGATCTGAATCCTTCGTAAGTAAAAGCGTCTTATTATTTCACTTAATGTAAGGCAAAGATAACCTTTACACAGGTACTCCCTTCATATTCTTGTGTTTATTACATTTCAGATATTAGAATATTTAGACAAGAACCATCTAAGTCCTCAACATCTTGTACCTAGACAAGCAGAAAAACTGAGTGATTTAGCAAATCCTGACTGGTGGAAAAGATTTACACAACCATTATCTGAAAGTCATTCCAGTCCACAAGATAATTTTTCTGAAGAAAATGGTGCTTTCCAGCGATTACAGTTGAATGAAAGAGACAACCAACCATCTTCAAGTAGTCAGTTCGCATCATCCAGCTCTACATTCAGTTCTCAGTCATCCGATCAATATTACAATAAAAGTGGAAAAGTAGGTACCTCTTCTGAAGGGAACAATTCTCCTTCTAGTGAAGTCAAAAGTCATTCGAGTATAACAGTTAATCAACAATCTCCTAGAAAGGCTATCGTACCATTACACCGTCAAATGTCATTGGGAGCAGCTAAAATCACTGAAAATTATTCCGCTAAACCTCGTTTTCGACGATTACCCAGTGGATTAGAGACAAATGTAGCTTCAAGTCGTAATTCATCTGCACGATCAAATAATACTAGCAGTGGTACAAAATAGATTTCTCTTCATTTTCTTTATTTCCTACCATATCGACAATAAAATTCACCTGTATCATAATGTTTCATCTCTTCTGAGATTGTAGACTACAATACTCTGACTATAGTATGGTCATTTTACAAGATTTTTCTCATCTCTGTTAACAAGTTGACAGGAGTAACAATGCTGTAATGGTATATAAAGAAAAGAGAAAAGATCGTGTTTAGAAATTAATACTGCTTTACTACTACTATGACTACTGAAAAGCATATTAGTAGTTGGTAAATTATTACATTCGTTAATTATCATCATTTGATAATGGACTCGTCAAAGTGCCTCTTTTTACATAAGCTGTTTCACACACTTATCTGACAATCTTTTGTTCCTTACCAGCTCCAACGAAGGACTGTATAATCTACTATAAAAATATAATGAGGCTTAGTTCAATTTTCACATATAAGATTCTCCAATAAAAAAACAATTAAGATTAATTGTAATTTAATTAAAGTCATTTTTATACTGATCATCGTATGACTATTTAATCTATCGATGAATTGAGACAGATAACTGAAAACTGTGGCCTTTGAAATAACTGGGTCTTCTGATAGACAATTTCAAATAAGAAACTTCACTTTCAATGTGTTTACGATGATAATCATGAACATCTAACTGAAAATTGGTTTACAACCAAAATAAAATAATTGTTCAAATGTTTTGTAGTTACAAATAAATGTCAGGAATAATCTGAGCACTTATTTCAAAGATTCAACAAGTGAAAATTAAAGAAGACTGAAGAAGATTTAATTTGTACATTGTTCAATAAAAGCTAAAGCTGTTTTCTTTTACTGAATTATTTCCTTGATAATTTGCCTGCAAGATTTAAACCGTACGCAAAAGAAATATTGCTTCAATTTTTCTTTAATCTTAACCTTTTTTCCTTCTCCTTTTCTATCTATGAATTAGATTTCTAAATCTTGGCTTTCACGACCCTTTTGGAATAAACTAGATTACTTTTGAAATAAAAAACATTTTCTCTTTTTGATACTAAAGGAAATTTGTCAGTTAGTTGAATAGTATGACAGCATAACATTCCTTTCAATGATTGTTTCAGTTATGGGATCCCATTCGTTTGTTTCCCAGTTACCAATAATTGCATTAAAGACTTATCCTCTAAGGAATTCTTTAAACTGGATTTGTTTGCATCCCAATGGGTGACACTGTTGTCACAGATACTTTACCATCGTATACGTCACTTTCGTATCAAAATAACCGGCTATAATAGGCACCACTACGGGAAACTGATAGCAGGTGCTTGTTATCACCAATGAAAGATATTGGCAGTATATTTTGAATAACAGATGAAGTAGTAATTCTGGGATGGATTAGCAAAGAAACGGAATAAATCTGCTTAGTTTACTGATCGCTTAGAAAAATCTTGGTCTCAAAAATTCAGTTTGTTCATCACTTAGCAAATAATCACATCTACTGAGTCAGATAGTTACTCAGAGTTTTCTTCTGTTTATGCCCGATATAGTGAAGCACCTGAACAACTGGTTATTCTACCATAAAATAAAACTGGTCAGTAATTTAGTGTTTAACTCAACAGGTACGCAGTCATTATCATCACCATTGGAAATATGAGAAAGTAATAATCTAAGAGGATTTCTCCACAAGTGACTTTGTTTTTTAGAGTATCAAGATCAAGTGCGTTTGTCTCTTCCATTCAGTAGCTTCCTCATCACTTCTTGAATGTATATATCAGTTCTGTTTACTTTTAACTATTCAACAGAGTAGAACAAAACGTGTAGAACTATGACTGTAAAACTGTAGACAATGAAAGAGCCGAAAAGGATGTTTTCTCTGAGCGTCTTGATTTTGCTTATGTCCTGACGGGGATTTTTGCTTATTGCCTAACTATCCTATCACCTCCAAATCTGTCTAAATAATGTATTCTGCTGGAGTTTTCCTGTAATTGAAAGTCAAGTGTTTTTTTAACTTTTTCCTGTCATTATGATGAGGTTTTGGAGCTGACTAAGGAACTTTGATTTATTACAGTGTCAATTTTTGAGCAAATTGTTTGAATATGGCCTTTAGCACATAATAGTGGATCATTCTACTAAGAAATTTGCACAGAAACATAACTATTTAGTTTACAACACATTTCCTCAAAATGGAGAACAAAGGGAGGAAAAAGAATTTCAATCCAGAGAAACCAATTCATGAAACTGTGTTAGTGGTCATATTCAGTTACGCATCTTTAACAAAACAAGGAGGCCACCTTGATGCCCCTCATTTTCCAACACGTTTCAAACCAACATTTAAAGATCTTACTATCTTCTATAAGGATGACATCTAGCAACAATGGTGCATATTTTGCGATTCTCTTATTCTGACTAATATTACCTTGAACACATCAAAAATATTTATCATTATTTGTTCTTTGGGTTCCTAGTGGAACACAGGGCTTCAATAGCACGTCACCATTTCACTCCGTTCTCCACAGTCTTTCTAACCTGGCTCCACAACTCCACTCAACCTTTCATTTCTTACCCACACCATCTCCTCCATGTCACTCTCGCCTTGGACGCCCAACTCGTCGTCTCCTCTAAGGGTTCCACTCTACGGTCTGACGCGTGATGTCCCCAAATGATCTTCTCGGTGTATGTCCAATCCAGTCCATCTCCACTTTCCTCTGCATATTTGTTGGGTGATGGGTTGTTGGTTGGTTCGTTGCCAGCCAGTGTTCCTTGTTGCTTATTCTCACCATTCTGGTCATCTGATCTTCAGTATCGAGCATAGGCAGCTGTTGAACACATCAAAAGCGCACACTTTATTCTTGGTGCAGATTTATTGCTTCTTCTGTCAACTTGCAATATTTACCTTGATGTGTCACTCCTGACCTCCGTCTTCTAAAGCTGAAACAGCCGGATACATGAGAATGATACGATGAAGGGAGTTGTGTTCGAACACAGAGAATTTTAACATCATTTTTATGAACTGGTAACTGAAAATATCCAGCCCAATAGTCTATAGATAAGTAATAATTTGACAATTTCAAAAAATCGAACATTATTATCAAACTTTAATAAATATATATTAATCCCTATTTTAGCGCCTTTAGGTGCAGAATACTTTCAAAACACTGATTATTCATGTCAGCATTTCAGAGGTTGGTCATATTTGTTGTCTTAACATATAAAAAGAGATTTTGACAGATTTGCAGTAGATCAGCAATACATGAGAGTAGTTTGTTCTATCCCCGTATATTTGTTTTGGCCTCATTATTTTTCGTAATAAGAGACAGAGTTCTATGTTCGCTTTATAACTTTTCAGAAGATAAAAGAATAATCTTTTAAGCTTAATAGTCATGGCTGATGATGAGGTAAGTGAGAAGCATAATTTCTGACTATTTCAGTGCAATAGTCTGAGCATCAGTCACAAAATGTACTCCTTACTAATGCAAATCAGAACGGTAAAACATATCCAAGAATTTCTATGGCCTGTTTTTAATCATCTAAAAAAGCCGAGATTAGATAGGGTCTCTTTAGAGTTTACACATAACTTTTACATGACGATGCGCAAATAAACCTTTCAGCAACTGATTCGAGCTTGATTTTTAAGCAGTTTAGCGTTCTCTGTAGAATTATCATTGTACAAAGTAGTGAGAGAATGTAACGACCAGCCATTGATACGTTTTCGTCTAGCCTGTAGGTAGGTACGTTGTTGCAGGGGTGCGTAGAGCAGTATCAGTTTGCTGGTGACCACGAAAATCTGAAAGGGAAAAGAGGAAGAAAAAAAGGTGAGCCGACTACACAGCAAGTACACAGGATGTACTTACATTTAATAATGAAGGATAATTGACAAACGGTAGAGCTTAACAATGAAGAGATGAGCCAGTCTAGAAATCGAAACTGGGAGGTGAATTAGTAAGATTTCGAATGAATTACAGGGACATTACAACACCGATAGTGCAAACAAAGACTGAGTGACTTTCAGTCAATAAACTTTAGTAAATAAGCATACTTCCTTGACTATTGTTTTAAAAGCCACTACCCAAATTAGGTAAAATATATAAATCATCTGATTGTATAACGTTTCATCAATAACAGGGCTGGAAATGATTATCGGTAATTTAACAACTCACAGTACAACTGATAGAATACTGAGCTAACGATGTAAGCGTTATCGATTGGATTCTAAACGACACTTAAATTTCTCTTGAGCTGCAGTCATCAGCCTTGTTTACATCAGTTAGTTAGATAAACAATTTCTTATCAAGTTGTCTTAGTGCTAACGTAAAACTACTTAAACTATTGCCCATTTGTTGACCAAAAACTGAAAAAATGGTTTTAACTGAATATTTTCAAATGAAAATGTTTCATAAATTCAGTCCACATATTTCATCGATAGGTGGCCATTCTTGCAATATATTTCACAGTGATAATATCAACAAATCTAATACATGCAGAAAAATAACCTTGAACTGGAGACTAGAAAAGTAATGAATAATTCAGGATGTACAAAGTCCGACTGATGATGTCACAGGTCACCTATTTTCACACCTTTAGTTAGGCATTAGAAAAATGTAGATATATGAAACGAAAAAGAAACCACTGAGAAAATTCTGTCTAACCAACACTTGGTAATGAAGAGTTTACACTTGAAAAAGATAACTGTAGTGTTCAAACAATACCATAACTAAGTGTTAGTTGGTTAGAGGCTATCAGCAGGAAGTCCTGGACCTAAGTTTCGTGCTTTTTGCCACTCGTCAGCAAGGCGTTGCTGAGCTTCCTAGCTTGGTTGCCACACTGCACACATGATCGATAGGATCCGGTCTGCACTCAGGACTAGACAACATGGAATTGGTTGCACTTCCTTGACCAATCAATACACTATAACTAGGTGTCTAGGAATAAGTTCCTTTTAAATCATCCACGAAATGTTGGATCACCTTACTAAAAGATAAAGTAACAGATGTTGTAGATATTTAACATATTTATGTAGTGAGTCGTATTAAGGTG